TCCCCGAGATTCTTTCAAACTACTTCAAAAACAAACGACAAGGGACCCCCAAGATTCTTAAAACTACTTCAAAAACAAAACACAAGGGGTCCTCGAGATTCATTCAAACTAGTTCAAAAACAAACACAAAAGAACACTGAGATCCTTAAAACTACTTCAAAAATAGAACAAAATGGCTTCCCGAGATTCTTTGAAACTACTTCAAAAACAAACGACAAGGGACCCCCGAGATTCTTTCAAGCTACTTCAGAAAAAACGACAAGGGACCCCCGAGATTCTTAAAACTACTTCAAAAACAAAACACAAGGAGTCCCCGAGATTCTTTCAAAACTACGTCAAAAACAAACGACAAGGGACCCCCGAGATTCTTAAAACTACTTCAGAAACAAAAAACAAAGAGTCCCCGAGATTCTTTTAAACTACTTCAGAAACAAACCGCAAGGGACCCCCGAGATTTTTAAAACTACTTCAAAAATAAAACACAAAGAATCCCCGAGATTCTTTTAAACTACTTCAGAAACCAATGACAAGGGACCCCCGACATTCTTAAAACTACTTCAAAAACAAAACACAAGGAGTCCTCGAGATTCATTCAAACTAGTTCAAAAACAAACACAAAAGAACACTGTGATCCTTAAAACTACTTCAAAAATAGAACAAAATGGCTTCCTGAGATTCTTTGAAACTACTTCAAAAACAAACGACAAGGGACCCCCGAGATTCTTTCAAGCTACTTCAGAAACAAACGACAAGGGACCCCCGAGATTCTTAAAACTACTTCAAAAACAAAACACAAGGAGTCCCCGAGATTCTTTCAAAACTACTTCAAAAACAAGCGACAAGGGACCCCCGAGAATCTTAAAACTACTTCAGAAACAAAAAAAAAAGAGTCCCCGAGATTCTTTTAAACTACTTCAGAAACAAACCGCAAGGGACATCCGAGATTTTTAAAACTACTTCAAAAATAAAACACAAAGAATCCCCGAGATTCTTTTAAACTACTTCAGAAACCAATGACAAGGGACCACCGACATTCTTAAAACTACTTCAAAAACAAAACACAAGGAGTCCCCGAGGTTCTTTCAAACTACTTCAAAAACAAACGACAAGGAACCCCCGAGATTCTTTCAAAACTACTTCAAAAACACACGACAATGGAGCAACGAGATTCTTAAAACTACTTCAAAACAAAACACAAGGAGTCCCCGAGATTCTTTCAAACTACTTCAAAAACAAAACACAAGAAGTCCTCGAGATTCTTTCAAACTACTTCAAAAACAAACGATAAGGGGCCCCGAGATTCTTAAAACTGCTTCAAAAACAAAACACAAGAAGTCCCCGAGATTCTTTCAAACTACTTCCAAAAACAAACGACAAGGGACCCCCAAGATTCTTAAAACTACTTCAAAAACAAAACACAAGGAGTCCCCAAGATTTTTTCAAACTACTGCAAAAACAAACGACAAGGCAGCCCCGAGATTCTTAAAACTACTTCAAAAACAAAACACAAGAACTCCCCGAGATTCTTTCAAACTACTTCAAAAACACACGACAAGGGTGCCCCGAGATTCTTAAAACTACTTCAAAAACAAAACACAAGGAGTCCCCAAGATTTTTTCAAACTACTGCAAAAACAAACGACAAGGCAGCCCCGAGATTCTTAAAACTACTTCAAAAACAAAACACAAGAAGTCCCCGAGATTCTTTCAAACTACTTCAAAAACAAAACACAAGGAGTCCCCGAGATTCTTTCAAACTACTTCAAAAACAAACGACAAGGGACCCCCAAGATTCTTAAAACTACTTCAAAAACAAACGATAAGGGACCCCCGAGATTCTTAAAACTACTTCAGAAACAAAAAACAAAGAGTCCCCGAGATTCTTAAAACTACTTCACAAACCAAAAACAAGGAGTCCCCGAGATTCTTTTAAACTACTTCATAAACAAACGACAAGGGACCCCGGAGATTCTTAAAACCCCTTCAAAAACAAAACACAAGGAGTCCCCTAAATTTTTTCAAACTATTGCAAAAACAAACGACAAAGGACCCCCGAAATTCTTAAAACTACTTCAAAAACAAAACACAAGGGGTCCTCGAGATTCTTTTAAACTACTTCAGAAACAAACGATAATGAACCCCTAGATTCTTAAAATTACTTCAAAAACAAAACAGAAGAAGTCCCCGAGATTCTTTCAAACTACTTCAGTAACAAACCACAAGGGACCCCCGAGATTCTTAAAACTACTTCAGAAACAAAACAGAAGGATTCCCTTAGATTCTTTCAAACTACTTCAGAAACAAATCACAAGGGACCCCCAAGATTCTTAAAACTACTTCAGAAAGAAATCACAAGGAGTCCCCGAGATTCTTTTAAGCTACTTCAGAATCAAACGACAAGGGACCCCCGAGATTCTTAAAACTACTTCAGAAACAAAACAAAAAGAGTCCCCGAGATTCTTTTAAACTACTTCAGAAACAAACGACAAGGGACCCCCGAGATTCTTACACCGACTTTAGAAAAAAATAACAAGGAGTCCCCGAGATTCTTTCAAACTATTTCAGAAACAAACGACAAGAGACCCCCGAGATTCTTTCAAACTACTTCAAAAATAAACACAAAAGAACCCCGAGATCCTTAAAACTACTTCAAAAACAAAACAAAATTGCTTCCCGAGATTCTTTGAAACTACTCCAAAAACAAACGACAAAGAACCCCCGAGATTCTTTAAAATTAACTCAAAAACCGGACTCAGGTGGTCCCCGAGATTCTTTCAAATTACTTCAAACACAAAACACAATGCGTCCCCGAGATCCTTAAAACTACTTCAAAAACAAAACATAAGGGATCCCCGAGATTCTTTCAAACTACTTCAAAAACAAACGACAAGGGACCCCCGAGATTCCTTCAAACTACTTCAAAAACAAACACAAAAGAATTCCGAGACCTTTAAAACTACTTCAGAAACATAACAAAATGGGTCCCTAAAATTCTTTAAAACTACTTCGAAAACAAAAGTAGTAGTAATATATTGCCCATGTTTTCTTTACACGAACCCAATCGTTGTGTTCGTACCCCTAATACACGATTTTTAGATGTACCATATCCCAGAACAAGTTATGGGAAAAATTCCTGTGCTGGCAGATTATCAAGACTAGTAAATTTTCTATAGCGCGTAGATTTCATGGGTGTGGTGACACAATAATAAATAGTAGTAAATAATCGCCCCATCTCAATTGATTATTTTTTTTTCCGTTCTGAGGCGGACAGCGAAGAGAAGACAATTACCCTTTTTTTTCGGAAAGAAAATTTAAGGCGTCCAAATTGGAAAATCGGTTCCATTTTCAAAATTTATGAAGTACATATTCTGTAAAGCCCTTTCTTATGTATCTTTTAAATTATACTTTAAGGTACATTTTGATCAAGAAGATTTCGTCTAGGATTTAAAGTTAAAAGAGAACGCTGTACCTAAACATTTTAAAGCTCAAGATTTCAAATATAAAGCTCCATTTAAAATTATCAATCCAGAAAACACAATTACCGATAAAATATCAAGATTCAAAATTCGGTATCCACTGATAAACAATTTACAAATCGAGTGTTTAGGAAAGTCATACCAAAAGTTATTGCTACAGAAAGAAGACGAAATTTATTGTTTAAAAGAAAAAATTAACAGATTAAATTTAAAGAATTTAAAAATCAATAACAAACTGTCCAAAATGTTGGTGGTTTAGATTATTTACGTTTATATTTTATATTTTCCTTATTACACATTCTATTTTTTGTATTTTTATCTGATACCTACGTTTTATATAATTGTAATATGGCGAATAAAACATTAGTATCACTATCACTATAAATGAAGAAAAAACCCTTGCAATATAAGGCGTAGATCGAATAACTAATAGAAGGAAAATAACAATGTATCTCTTTTTAATTAACAGTATTAAGAGTAGTTACCAGAATGAAGAGGGGGTGGGTGGGCGGGCCTACTGCTTGTCTACAAAAGACTCTCTAGGAAAAAGTTAAACTTAGCCCCACCCACCCACCCGTTCTCTAATGTGGATTTTGCAACTAACTCCTCCTCTCTATCTGACAACGAAGAAAAAATGCATCCATCACAACTGAGACAGGGGCGAGTGGGTGGGGCTTAATTATCGGTTTTTTTTTCTTAGCGTATACCTATTTTCAACAAAACCATATTTATAACATAATTCTAATCTCAAATTTACCATTTGATATTTAAAGCATTTTTATTATAAGCCCCACCCGTAGTTTGCACATTTTAGACAGATCAGTATTTATAAAAAATATTTCCTGGTACCACTGTCTTTTCAGAATTTTTGGGATTATTTTGCTTACTACAAGTAGAAGTAGAAGTATTTTTATAACCGTTTTCCGTTAATTAAAGTTTATTATTACGATTTGTACTGCTGATGCCGTCCATTATACATCTTAAAATCGGGTACATAAGCAATATGCGGCAGGTGTTCCATGCGTTCATTCAAGCTTACACAGACGATAAATCGAATTAAATCTTCCGTTTTAACAGAACTACTGCATCCAAACAATTAATTTCAACTGGCTTAACTTTACCTTTCTAAAATTTTTTCGAAGTACTTTGTTGCATACAAATTTTTCGTTGCGATTTTTCTGGGTGTTTTACTAAGTACTAAATTATTTTAGAAAATGTCGGACTTACCCTCTTTATGCACTTTCAACTCGTTAACCTTCACGTCTTCTTTTTTATTCCGGAGAGAACGCGAACCTGAGTTTTAATTTTCTTTCGATTAGTTGCCAAAGATAGACGAAAGATGCATACAAATTGACGAATTTTATCTAGCAATTTATCATTTTTTTTTTTAGAAATTTTCTTTCATTGTGAGAGCTAGTAACCCATTTTTTACGTAACCTTAGGCAAAACTTCCGCATAATGAATTTGGACTTTTGAACGTGAAAAAAAGATTGTCTATTGAAAAACAACTTTATTAAAAATATTGCACTAACTGAGATACATTTGGTAAAAATATATTACAAAAGGAACATAAAAACGCTCATTTACAATATCGTACATAATTACATCAAAATAAAAACAGAGAACAAGAAGGAACAAGTCAATAAATATGTAAAAAAATAACAACCAGCTTAAACTTGCACATATTCTAAAAACTTGTTAGCGTTAATACTGTGTGCTTAAGTAAGTAAAGTAAATAATTGCACTGATCCCTCCAACCGCACTGTACCGATTATTATTGCACTGTATTCCGATATCACAAAGTCATAGAGAAGCGCACCGATTACACTAACCTACAATTAAAAATATCGACACAGATATTGCACGTCTGGATATTCTTAATATCTAATATTGCACGATCTAGGCAAACCCAGCCCGCCTTCAAGACCATCATCTTGATCTAACTCTAGAATAAATAAATAAATAGAACAGACCATATCACAATCAGTCCCTCTGCAGCAGCTCGTGCAGAGCGGCGATGTACGTCTGTGCCATCTGCAGCGTCTCGAACTTGGACAGCTTCCTGTCGTTCCCCAGCGACGGCACCACGTCCCTCAGCCTGTCGAAGGCGTCGTTCAAGCTGTTCATCCTCCTGCGCTCCCGCGCGTTCGCCGCCAGCCGCCGCTTCTTCATCACTTCCATGCCGGCCTGCGCCGCCGCCCCCTTCTTGGCGTCCTTCTTGTACTTGCACGGGGCCCGGTAGAACTCCTGGCTGCCGTAGCCGCCCCCGTCCGACTTGTACCCGTACACGTTGTTGTTCTCCCCGTAGTGGCCCCAGCTCTCCTGCTTGTAGTAGTTGGGGGTGTAGGGCTGCGACGACATGCCCGGGTCCGAGGAGATGGACATGGGGCTGGACAGGCTCAGGGGGTGGCAGCCCGGCGAGCCCCGCGGCGACAGGCACCCGTCGGAGGACGACTCGTGGTTCTGCTGGTAGTAGTCGTTCTGGTGCAGGAACATTTCGCGTCTTCCATCACATCACACCGAGGAGCGGCGCGTGCTGGCACTGTTTATGTTCCGGTTCTTGGCTAAGTGGTTCACTCGCGGATAACAGGTTCTTGGACGGATGCTGCCAGGGCTCGCGGCGGACTGGAGATGACGAGCGTGTGCTAGGTGTTAAATCAAAGAAGTGGTAGCGGTCGAGGCTTTGCCATTGCCACTGTCGAGGATGGAGGTGAGGCCGGCGCTAGAGGTGTGCGATGGGATTTTTTCTGCGAATGGGGGACGGGTTGGCGGCTGGGGAAGGCGGAAGCGAGGTGGCGAGCGAGGGCAGGGGAAGACCGGAGAGTGAATCTCCTAGTTTTGGTACAGCAGGTGCAAGAACGACTAGAGAAGGCAGGAATTTTTACAACTATTTCATTTATTTCACTTAATTTAGTACCAAGAAGTGAGGTCCGGACTTTAGATCCTTCTTCTTACTTCCCGAGCGTAAGCTAAGGAACTATTTCAATGCAGTACCTCGGACGACTGGATACTTTCATGTTTTCTCGACGTTTAATTGAATCTTTTCTACGGACGGGTTTTTCCAAGACTTCATTTATGGACACGGCCATAAGGCCGGATGTTGTAAATATAGATAGTTTGTCACCAACTATGAAATGACGTAATTTCAAAATTTTACAATAGTGGATATAATTTAAATTTTATATCCTCCGTTTACGGTTTATGAATCCGTGTTGAGTTTTTACCTTAGACGTCATAATTTTTGGAAAAAAATCAACAACATTTTCCAATTTATAGTTTTTGGAAGCATGTTAAATCGTTAGTCAAAATTTATCCGTTCATGCTCCCAGGAATTGATGATTTTGTCGATTAAATGTTATTTAAATGTTAAAAAGTAGCATAATCATGAACTTGTAGTTTATAAATACACTATTGAGATTTTTCGACTTTTCGATTTGTCGATTTTTCGGTGTTTGAATGATACGATTTCTCAATTTTCGACTTTCTTTCAGTTTTTGGATTTTTCAATATTTCGATTTTCCGACTATTCGATTTTTGGACTCCTGAATTTTTTGATTTCTGAATTTTCAATATTTCGTTAAGCTTTATATTTTTCAATTTTTCGTTGTTTTAATTTTTCAATTGTTAAAATTCTAGGTTTTTCGATTTCTCGAGATTTCAGTTCTTCTATATTTCAATTTTTCAATTGTCCGGCGTTTTAAATTTTTTATTTTTTCAATTTTTCTTTTATAAAACTTCTCGATTCATCAATTTTTCGATTTCTAACTTTTCGTCTGAGCTTTCGACTCCTCAATTTCTCGATCCTCTGATTTTCCGATTTCTATCTCAGTTTTTGAATTTTTCAATGTTTTGATTTTTCAATTTTTTATTTTTTTGATTTTCAGTTTTTCGTTTTTTAAACTTTAAATATTTCAATTTTTCGACTAATTTATAGTTCGATTTCTCAATTTTCCGGTGTTTCAATGATACGATTTCTCAATTTTTGTCCTCTTCAGTTTTAGAAAATTTTCAAATTTTGACGTTTCTAAATTTTCAGCTTTCCGATTTCTGTACCAATCTTTTTTTTATTGTCCCAATTCTCGATTTCCAAAGTTGCGATTTTTAAGCTTCCGATTTTTCGGCTTTGCTTTTCAGTTTTTCGATTTCTCACTTTTACAATTTTTTAATTTCTCAATTTTTTGGATATTTCTTTCAGTTTTGCATTTTGCAATATTTCGATTTTAGGACTTTTCAATTTCTCGATCCTCTGATCTTTCGATTTGTCGATGTCTCAGTTTTTTAATTTTTCGATATTTCGATTTTCAAACTATTCCATTTTTGGACTCCTGAATTTTTTGATTTCTGAATTTTCAATATTTCGTTAAGCTTTATATTTTTAAATTTTTCGTTGTTTTAATTTTTCAATTGTTAAAATTCTAGGTTTTTCGATTTCTCGAGATTTCAGTTCTTCTATATTTCAATTTTTCAATTGTCCGGCGTTTTAAATTTTTGATTTTTTCAATTTTTCTTTTATAAAACTTCTCGATTCATCAATTTTTCGATTTCTAACTTTTCGTCTCAGCTTTCGACTCCTCAATGTCTCGATCCTCTGATTTTCCGATTTCTCGATATCTCAGTTTTTGAATTTTTCAATGTTTTGATTTTTCAATTTTTTATTTTTTGGATTTTCAGTTTTTCGTTTTTTTAACTTTAGATATTTCAATTTTTCAACTAGTTTATAGTTCGATTTCTCAATTTTCCGGTGTTTCAATGAAACGATTTCTCAATTTTTGTCCTCTTCAATTTTAGAAATTTTCCAAATTTTGACGTTTCTAAATTTTAAGCTCTCCGATTTCTGCACCAATCTTTTTTTTATTGTCCCAATTCTCGACTTCCCACAGTTTCGATTTTTAAACTTCCGATTTTTCGGCTTTGCTTTTCAGTTTTTCGATTTTTCTCTTTTACAATTTTTTAATTTCTCAATTTTTTGGATATTTCTTTCAGTTTTGCATTTTGCAATATTTCGATTTTAGGACTTTTCAATTTCTCGATCCTCTGATCTTTCGATTTGTCGATATCTCAGTTTTTTAATTTTTCGATGTTTCGATTTTTCGATTTCTCGGTTTTTCGATTTTTTACTTTTGGGCTTTTCAATTTTTCGAATTTCTAATTTTTTGATGTTTCGATTCTTGAGTTACCTGATTTTTAAATTTTTCACTTTTTTAACTTCTGGAGTCTCGATTTCTAGATTTTTCATTTTTTCGATTTTTTAAATTTAGACTTTCGAATTTTTGTTTGATTTTTTGCGATATTCTAATTGTTCAGTGTTTTAAATTTTAGATTTTTCAATTTCTCGATTTCTTGACACTTCAGTTCTTCACTATTTCTGTTTTTCAATTTTTCAAATTTTGACCTTGCTAAATATTCAGTTTTCCGATTCCTCAGTTAATTTATTTTTGATATTCCCATTTCTCGAGTTTTCAGTTCTTCAGTTCTTCGATTTTTCGACTTTGTTTTTTGGTTTTTCAATTTCTCAATTTTCCAATTTTTTAATTTCTCAATCTTCGGATATTTCATTCAGTTTTGAGATTCTCCAATGTTTTGATTTTTCAATTTTTAAAATTCTCGATTTTTCAGTTTTTCGAGTTTTAATTTTTCTTCTCAGCTTCCGACTCCTCAATTTCTCGATCCTCTGAATTTTCGATTTCTGGAGCTCTTAGTTTTTTCATTTTTCGATGTTTCGATTTTTGGATTTCTCCGTTTTTTGATTTTTTACTTTTCAGCTTTTGAATTTCCAATTTTTCTTTTTTAAAATTTTTCGATTTTTCAATAAATTTTTGATTTCTCGATTTATCGAATTGAGTTGTTTCAACGTTTTGATTGTTCAACTTTTCGATTTTCAACTTTTCTTCTCAGGTTTCGACTCTCCAATTTCTCGATCCTCTGATTTTTCGATTTCTCGGTTTTTCGATTTTTTACATTTGCGCTTTTCAATTTTTCGATTTTTCAATTTTTTGATGATTCGATTTATCAGTTATCTGATTTTTAAATTTTTCACTTTTTTAAATTCTCGCTTTTTCATTTTTTCGATTTTCAAAATTTAGATTTTCGATTTTTTTTTATTTATTGCGATATTTTAATTGTTCAATGTTTTAAATTTTAGATTTTTCGATTTCTCGATTTTTTGATTCTACAGTATTTCTGTTTTTCAATTTTTAAATTTTTTAATTTCTCAATCTTAGGATATTCTTTCAGTTTTGGGATTCTCCAATGTTTTGATTCCTTGACTTTTCGATTTTTCGACTTCTGGATTTTTGGATTTTTTATTTTTTTTGGATTTTCAGTATTTCGTTTTCTAAAATTTAGATTTTTCAAATTTTCGACTATTTTATATTTCGATTTCTCAAAATTTCAACTTTTCGATATTATTTATATAATTTTTCAATTTTCAAAATTCTGGATTTTTCAACTTCTGAAGTTTTCAGTTCTCTATTTTAATTTTTCAAGTTTCCGAATTTTTAAATTTTCGATTTTTCAATTTTTTGAGATCTCGATTTATCGACATGCGGGTAGTTCGATGTTTTATTGTTCAATATTTAGATTTATCAATTTTTCCATTTTTAACCTTTTGATTTTTCGGATTTTGGTTGTCTCAGTTTTTTAATTTTTCGAAGTTTCGATTTTTCTATTTGTCGGTTTTTGATTTTTTACTTTTCGGCTTTTCGATTTTTGGATGTTTTTATCTGATTTTTCAATTTTCCAATTTTTCTAAATTTTCCAGTTTCGTTTTTTCAATTTGTTGATTTTTCAGTTTTTCAATTTTTTAATTTTAGATTTTCGAATTTTTATTTAGTTAATTTTTCGATTTTTCGATTTTTCAGTGCTTAAATATTTTTTAATTTTTCAATTTTGACGTTTCTAAATTTTCAGGTTTCCGATTTCTGCACCAATCTTTTTTTTATTGTCCCAATTCTCGACTTCCCAAAGTTTCGATTTTTAAGCTTCCGATTTTTCGGCTTTGCTTTTCAGTTTTTCGATTTCTCACTTTTCCAATTTTTTAATTTCTCAATTTTTTGGATATTTCTTTCCGTTTTGGGATTTTTCATATTTCGATTTTTGGACTTTTCAATTCCTCGATCCTCTGATTTTTCGATTTGTCGATGTCTCTGTTTTTGAATTTTTCTATGTTTCGATTTTTGGATTTCTCGGTTTTTCGATTTTTGTTTTTAGTTTGGGACTTTTCAGTTTTTCGATTTTCCAATTTTTTTATGTATCGATTCTTCAGTTAACCGATTTTTAAATTTTTCACTTTTTTAAATTCTGGAGTTTCGATTTTTCGATTTTTCATTTTTTAATTTTAGAAATTAGATTTTGGATTTTTTTTTTTTGATTTATTGCGATATTTTAATTGTTCAGTGTTTTATATTTTAGATTTTTCGATTTCTCGATTTCTTGATTTTTTATTTCTTCAGTATTTCTCTTTTCAATTTTTCAAATTTTGACCTTGCTATATATTCAGTTTCTCCCAATTTCTCAATTAATCTATTTTTGATTTTCCCATTTCTCGACTTTTCAGTTTTTCAATTCTTCGATTTTTCGACTTTGCTTTTTGGTTTTCCAATTTCTCAATTTTCTAATGTTTTTAATTTCCCAATCTTTGGATACTTCTTTCAGTTTTGAGATTCTCCAATGTTTTGATTTTCAATTTTTTAGTTTTTGGATTTTCAGTTTTTCGTTTTTTAAACTTTAAATATTTCAAAATTTCGATCTTTCAATTCTCCAGTTCTTCAATTTTTCGAGTTTTTAAGTTTGCGATTTTTCGACTTAGCTTTTTTGACATTTTTTGTCCCAATTTTTTGATATTTCGTTCAATTTTGTGATTTTTCAGTTTTTCGATTCTTCTATTTTTCTCAATTTTTCAATTTTTCGATATTTAAGTTTTGGGATTTTTTAGTACTTCGACCTTTCAATTTTACGTTTTTAAACTTTAGATTTTTAAATTGTTCGATTTTTCAGTTCTTCAATATGTTTTAAATTTTGATGTTCATGAATTTTAAGTGTTCCGACTATTTTCTATTTTTCAATTTTTGGATATTTCAGTTTTGGGATTTTTTAGTATTTCGACTTTTCTCGACTTTTTATTTTTTGAATTTTCAATTTTTCGTTTCTTGTACTTTAGGTTTTTCAATTTTTTGATCGTTTTATACTTTGATTTCTCAAATTTTCAACTTTCCGATATTTTAATTTTTCAATTTTTAAATTCTGGATTTTTCAACTTTTGATTGTTCAATTTCTCGATTTATCAATTTTTCCATTTTTCGATTTTTCGATGTTTTGATTTTTGAGTTGTCCGATTTTTTCAATTTTCCATTTTTCTTAATTTTCGAGTTTCGATTTCTAGATTTGTTGATTTTTCAGTTTTGCGATTTTTAAATTTTAGATTTTCGAATTTTATTTTTCTTTTAATTTTTTGATGTTCCGATTTCTCCATTTTTCAATTTTACGATATTTTAATTTCTCAATCTTTGGATATTTTTTCAGTTTTGAGATTCTCCAATGTTTTGATTTTTCAATTTTTAATTTTTTGGATTTTCAGTTTTTCGTTTTTTAAACTTTAGATTTTCAATTTTTCGACTATGTATTTTGTATTTCGATTTCTCAAATTTTTAACATTTCGATGTTATTTATATAATTTTTCAATTTTTAAAATCCTGGATTTTTCAATTTTTAAAATTCTGGATTTTTCAATTGTTTGAGATCTCGATTTATGCGGATGTTTCGATGTTTTGATTCTTCACTCTCTCGATTTATCAATTTTTCCATTTTTAACTTTTCGATTTTTCGATTTCTGGTTGCCTCAGTTTTTTAATTTTTTTTTCGATGTTTTTATCTGATTTTTCAATTTTCCATTTGTTTAAATTTTCCAGTTTCGATTTCGATTTGTAAATTTTAGATTTTCGAATTTTTATTTTTTTAATTTTCCGATTTTTCGATTTTTCAGTTCTTCAATATTTTTAAATTTTTCAAATTTTGACGTTTCTTAATTTTCAGATTTTCGATTTCTCAATTAATCTATTTTTTGATTTTCCCATTTCTCGACTTCCCAAAGTTTTAATTTTTCTGTTCCTCAATTTTCCGATTTTTCAGGTTTTGATTTTTCAATCTTTTAATTTCGTTTCTTAAACTTTAGGTTTTCCAATTTTTCGATCGTTTCATTCTTTGATTTCTCAAATTTTCAACTAGCCCCACCCACCCGCCCTCTTTTTTCTTAGAAGGTATGTCATTTGCCAAAATCGATCGTGTTTTAGCAGGTACTAGCCCCGCCCACCCACCCTCTCTTTTCTTAGAGAGTACTCATTAGCCAAAATCAGTCTTACTAGGTGCTAAAATGAGATCGATTTTGGCAAATGACCTAGCCTCTAAGAAAAGAGAGGGTGGGTGGGCGGGGCTAGTTCCTATTAAGATAAGACTGATTTTGGCAAATGAGACAATCTCTAAAAAATGGAGGGCGGGCGGGCGGTTCTAATAAAGAAATTTAATTAAATTATTATAAAAAAAGACACTAGAGGCTCCAAAGCACTTCCAGATTCTTTCCAAACAGGAATATGTATAACCTCAAGATTCTTAGTAACTCAAATTTACAAAGGCCTCTGTCACTGCTTCTAGGCCTGTTCTGGAACACTTATCCCGACATCCGCTTCCAGGATTTTCTCCGGCCGCCGTCACCGACAATGAGTCATCATCGCCATACATGCTAGAACCCATTATTTCGTAGCAGTATGTTTTGGATGCTATTTAAAACCTGCCTCAGTGTCCTGGAAACAGTAAAAACCCACCGTTCCCTGATTAATATATCGAGGTCAAAGTCGCTTTGAAAGAAAACATTTGTTTTGATAAGACAGTGATTCTATAAAATTATTAACTCAGTACAAAGTCGCCAGTGAGTCAAACAAGATGTCCACAAACTTTTGTGCACTAATTCTCCTCACGCTAGCTACATTTTCACTACAGTCGAATAATGACAATGTAAGTATTCGACAAAATTTTACAATTAAAAATCCAAACTTCGACGTAGTTTTTCGTCGTCTCTACTACCGAAAGCACTAACAACCTCGACACCAACACCAACACCCAACAAGCCCCGACAAACTGTAAAGAAATTCAAAAACAGGGTCACAGGATTTCGGGGATTTACACCATCATGCCCAGGTACGCATTAGTACCCTTCAAAGTGTACTGCAACATGCGAACTCAAGGTGGTGGCTGGACCGTCATTATGAACAGATATGATGGATCTCAGGACTTTTACTTGGACTGGAATAGTTACAAGAACGGGTTCGGAAAGCTGGAGGGCGAATTTTGGCTAGGTTTGGAGAAGATGCATTTACTGACAGGTACTGCAGCATCCTTTAAGGTACAAATTCTGTAGAATATTTTTCGTTTGACAGGATACGAATACAACGAGTTACTTATTGAACTAGTAGACTGGGACGATAAAGAAGTCTATGCACGATATAAGACCTTCAAAGTTGGAACTGCAGAAGATCAATATACGATGGAGATCTTGCGAGGGTACAGTGGTACCGCTGGAGACTATTTCTCCCAGGAAGCTGGAATGAAATTTACGACTAAGGATAGAGATAATGATTTATGGGCCGAAGGTAATTGTGCTGATTGGTCGAATGCCGGATGGTGGTACCGTAGTTGTAAGAGAACTCATTTGAGTGGAAAACTCTTGGGCAAGACTTTTCCTCCGTCGGATATATGGAAGAGAACATACTGGATTGGTTCCAACGGAAAGGATTACAGTTTGAAGGAAGTGAGAATGATGGTTCGACCATTGCGTCCAGATCTGTGAACACTTTTTGGACGATTATTGTGTTTACAAATCAGAAGTTTAATTAAACATTTTGAAAGTTTGTTTTGAATGCCTTTGTATCTACAGTAAAACCCCACCAGTTCGCTTATTAATATAACGAGGTTAAACCCAAGTCTCTTTGAAAGAAAACAATTGATAAGGCAGCGTTTGCATAAATTTCTTTAGAAAAATTCCTTTTTTAACGTTGTAACTGTGTTTAAATTTTTGTTATGAGTAACGTAAGATCACAGATAATTGTCGCTATAAATATTTTATTTATGAATAAAATTGTTTATTTCATACTAAGTACTAAATCTAGTTTTGTTGTTGTTACTGACCGATATGCATTAACCCGACCAAGAAGATAAGAATGTAAAAACCCAGTTGTGCACACTGCTGAAGGTGCTATCACTCAGAATTGTCACACAACAGTTGAGCATAAATTCTCACTCACACCCTGTATTTTTCAAGTTCAAAAAACGAAAAATTGAAAATCCAAAAAGTGAAACGTCGAGAAATCGAAAAATCCAGAACGTGAAAAATCCAAAAGTCGAAATACTAAAAAATCCCAAAATTGCAAAATTGAAGAATCGAAAAACTGAGAAAACTTTAAAAAATTGGAAAATTGAAAAATGGGAAAATTCAAAAACTGAGACAATCAAAACATCGAAACATCTGAATCTCGATAAATCGAGTTCTCAAAAAATTGAGAAATCGAAAAATAAAAAAATTCGGAAATGAGAAAAATTAAAATATGCCCGAAAAATTCACAAATCGAAATATATATAAAGCTGTCGAAAATTGAAAAGTCTAAAGTTTAAAAACGAAAAACTGAAGAACTGAAAAATTGAAAATGCGAATTCGGAAAACTGAAAATTTAGCAGCGTCAAAATTTGACAAATTGTAAAATAGAAATACTGAAGACCTGGAAAATCAAAAAATCCAGAAATCGAAAAATCTAAAATTTAAAACATTAAACAATTGAAATATCAAACAAAAATTGAAAAACTGAAAAATTGACAAATCGAAACTCCAGAATTTAAAAAAAAAACAGAAAATCGGATGACTGAAAAATCGAAACATCGAAAAATTGGAAAATCGAAAAACCGAGAAATCCAAAAATCGAAACATCGAGAAATAGGCAAAAGTTGAGAAATTGATAAATTCAGAAATTGAACAATCAAGACACCCAAACATCTGAATTCGATAAATTCAGAATTGGCCTGAAAATTTGAAAAATTGAATAAACGAAAAATTGGAAAATCGAAAGAAACAACAAAAAATAAAGGAAATCAAAATTGTGATATAAAATCAAAAAAGTGAAAATAAAAAATCGGGAAAATGAAAAATAAAAATCGGAAACAAAAATGGAGAAGGGAAAAATTAAAAATTGAGAAACTGAAAAATCGAAAAATGAAAATCTGTAGGTAATATTGAAAAATTGCCAAATTGAAAAACTGAAGGAACGAAAAATTGAAAATTTTGGAAGTCGAGAAATTGCAAAATTGAAAAACCAAAAATAAAAAACGAAAAATTAAAAAATGAAAACTTGAAAAATCTTAAGAATCGAAAAAGTGAAAAATAAAAAAAAAAGAAATATGTATTATGAAATAGAAATATTTAAAATTAAAGCTATTGAAAAATCGGAAGACTGGAAATCCAAAAACTGCAAAGTGAGAAATTTAAAAATTGAAAAATGGACGAACTGAAAATTCAAAGCCTGAATATTTGAAAAATTGTAAAATCGAAAAAAAAAAACGCAGAAAATAAAGGAAATGAAAAAACGGACAATCGTGATATAAATCGAGAAAATAAAAATTAAGAATTCGCCACATTGAAAAATAAAAATCGGGAACATGAAAAATTGTGGAAACGAAAAATTGAGAAACTGAAAATTCGAAAACTTGAACGAAAAATTGAAAAATCGAAAGAAACAACAAAGAATAAAGGAATTGAAAAAAATGAAAATTTGTGACAAAACCGAGAAAATGAAAAGTAAAAAATCGGGAAAATAAAAAATAAAGGAATTGAAAAAATGAAAGTTTGTGACAAAAATTTTAAAAATTGAAAACTTAAAATATCGAAAAGTTGTAAAAACCGAAATTAAAAAAACGAAAAATTGAAAATCTAAAAAGCAAAACGTCGAGAAATCGAAAAATCCAGAACGTGAAAAATCCAAAAGTCGAAATACTAAAAAATCCCAAAAAAATGAAAAACTGAAGAATTGAAGAACTGAAAAATCGAAACTGCGAATTCGGTAAACTGAAAATTTAGCAAAGTTAAAATTTGAAAAATTGTAAAATAGAAATACTGAAGAACTGGAAAATCAAAAAATCCAGAAATCGAAAAATCTAAAATTTAAAACACTGAATAATTGAAATATCGCAAATTGAAAAATGGAGAAATCCAAACATCAAAGAATCAAAAAAGAAAAATTCGAAAATCTAAAGCTTAAAAATAGAAAAACCGAGAAATCCAAAAATCGAAACATAGAGAAACAGGAAATTATTGAGAAATTGATAAATTGAGAAATTGAACCATCAAAACATCCAAACATCTGAATTCGATAAATCGAGAAATAAAAAAAATGAAAAATTTTAAGAAAGAAAAATTAAAACAGCGAAAAGTTGAAAAAAAAATAAGAAATAGAAGGATAAAACTGTCGAAAATTTGAGAAATCTAAAGTTTAACGAAAAATGGAAAATCCAAAAAGTAAAAAAGGGGTGGAAACCCAAAAACAGCAAACTGAAAAATTTAAAAATCGAAAAATCGAAGAATTGGACACTCGAAAGAAACAACAAAAATTAAAATAACTGTGATATAAAATAGAGAAAATGAAAAATAAAAAATCAGGAAAATGCAAAATAAAAATCGGGGAGTTGAAAAATTGAGGGGACGGAAAATTGAAAACGTGCACAATTAAAAATCGAGAATGTGAAAAATGGAAAAATGAGATTTTGTAATATTGAAAAATTGGAAAATTTGAAAGTCGACAAATTGTAAAATTGAAAAATCAAAAATATAAAAAACGAAAAACTGTATAATAAAAACTTGAAAATGTACAAAGTGAAAATCAAACTTGAAAATTTGAAGAACAATTGCTAAAAACCTGAAAATTTGAAAAATTTAATAAAGGAAAAATTGTAAAATCGAAAGAACAAAAAAAAATAAAGGAAATCAAAAAAAGCAAAATTGTGATATAAAATCAAAAAAGTGAAAATTAAAAAAATCGGGAAAATGAAAAATAAAAATCGGAAACAAAAAATTGGAAAAGGGAAAAATGAAAAATTGAGAAACTGAAAAATCGAAAAATGAAAATCTGTCATATTGAAAAATTGCCAAATTGAAAAACTGATGCAAACCGAAAAATTGAAGGAACGAAACATTGAAAATTTAATCAAAAATAAAAAACGAAAAATTACAAAATGAAAACTTGAAGAATCTTAAGAATCGAAAAAGTGAAAAATCAAAAAAAAAAGAAATATGTATTATGAAACAGAAGTATTTAAAATTAAAGAAATTGGAAAATCGGAAGACTGGAAATCCAAAAACTGCAAAGTGAAAAATTTAAAAATTGAAAATTGGACGAACTGAAAATTCAAAGCCTGAAAATTTGAAAAATTGTAAAATCGAAAAAAAAAACACAGAAAATAAAGGAAATGAAAAAACGGACAACTGTGATATAAATCGAGAAAATAAAAATTAAGAATTCGCCACAGTGAAAAATAAAAATTGGGAACATGAAAAATTGAGGAAACGAAAAATTGAAAATGACAAAAATTAAAAACTGAAAATGTGAAAAATCGAAAAATGAGAAACTGTAAAATTGAAAAATTGCAAAATTAAAAAACTGCAAATCGAAAAATTGAAAAATTTAGAAGTCAAGAAACTGTAAAATTGAAAAATCAAAAATAAAAAAACGAAAAGGTTTATGATGAAAACTTGAAAATTGTCAAAAGTGAAAACCAAACTTGAAAATTTGTAGAAACGAAAATTTGAAAAATGGAAAGATTAAAAATTGAAAAACTTAAAATTCGAAAAAGTGAAAAATAAAAAAAAAGAAATATGTATTATGAAATAGAAAAATTTAAAATTAAAGAAATTGGAAAATCGGAAGACTGGAAATCCAAAAACTGCAAAGTGAAAAATTTTAAAATTGAAAAATGGACGAACTCAAAATTCAAAACCTGAAAATTTGAATTATTTTAAATCGAAAAAAAACACAGAAAATAAAGGAAATGAAAAAACGGACAATTGTGATATAAATCGAGAAAATAAAGATTAAAAATTCGCCACATTGAAAAATAAAAATCGGGAACATGAAAAATTGTGGAAACGAAAAATTGAAAAATCGAAAGAAACAACAAAAAATAAAGGAATTGAAAAAATGAAAATTTGTGACAAAATCGGGAAAACAAAAATTTAAAAAATCGGGAAAATGAAAAATAAAAATCGAGAACATGAAAAACTGAGGAAACGAAAAATTGAAAATGACAAAAATTAAAAACTGAGAATGTGAAAAATCGAAAAATGAGAAACTGTAAAATCGAAAAATTGAAAAATTTAGAAATCAAGAAACTGTAATATTGAAAAATCAAAAATAAAAAAACGAACAAGTTTATGATGAAAACTTGAAAAATGTCAAAAGTGAAAATCAAACTTGAAAATTTGTAGAAACGAAAATTTGAAAAATCGAAAGATTAAAAATTGAAAAACTTAAAATTCGAAAAAGTGAAAAATAATAAAAAAAGAAATATGTATTATGAAATCGAAATATATAAAATTAAAGAAATTGGAAAATCGGAGGAAAAATAAAGATCGAGAACTTGAAAAACTGAGGAAACGAAAAATTGAAAATGACAAAAATTAAAAACTGAGAATGTGAAAAATCGAAAAATGAGAAACTGTAAAATCGAAAGATTGCAAAATTAAAAAATTGCAAATCGAAAAATTGAAAAATTTAGAAGTCAAGAAACTGTAAAATTGAAAAATCAAAAATAAAAAAACGAACAAGTTTATGATGAAAACTTGAAAAATGTCAAAAGTGAAAATTGCAAATT